GGACACGGCCTAGCAACTGGCTTCTGGGTGGTGAGGATGGGAGTGATGGAACAGGCTCTCCCAGGGAAGGCTTCACAGATGGGGTGGAATCTGAGCCTTCGCCAGGCAGATCTGAGCGGCAGGAACAGCCTGAGCAAAGGTATAGATCTTTGGCTTTCCCTCAGTGTGGTGGGCATCTTTTATTTAGCCAGCCCAACATGTATTCCCCTCCTCTGGGGCCTTGTTTTCCTGGATGTGGGTCCTGAGCTAGCAGATTAACATCACGTGGGGTTGTGTTAGAAATGCAGGTGCTTAGGCTCCATCCCAGACCTCCTGCAGGAGAATTCTGGAGGTGTGGCCCAGGCCCACCCCCTGATGCTGCTCTAGGGAACCACCTCTCCCCCACCCGGTCCATGTGAATCAAGTGGGGCTGACCACAGCGCCTGCTTCAGAGGAAAGCACATGACCTGAGGAAAAATTAGGCCCTTCCCTCTGTGGAAATTGCTAGCCTTGGTGAGCTGTAAATTGGAGGTGCCGGGGGCCACGTCTGCCATCACCTGGAGAGAGCCTGCTGAGAGCAACAAGCTAAGGTGAGCAGCGGAGCCCAGATGGAGATTCTCAGGGACTTTGAGCCCCTGGGTGGAGCTATTCTCAATTTGGAGTCTTGTTCCAGTAAGTCAGTCTCTCTCTCTCTCTCTCTCTCTCTCTCTCTCTCTCTCTCTCTCTCTCTCTCGTAAGTATAAGTCAGTTGAACAGAGTATAGAGCAGTTGAACAACTAAATACAAGGCTTTCTGACATTGAGCCATCCAAAGACTTATTAATGGAAGCGGAGAGGCAAATTCTGGAAAAGATAGTCTATTAAGTTTGGCAACTTTTCAGATGTGAGACTTAGTTTGTGGACATGCAGAAAAGGTGGTGGTCCCTTGGCACTGGCATGTCCTCATTCAGCCCTGAATAAGTTTAATTCCTCCTCAAGCCGTGCCAAACTGCACACCTTTCTGTGAGACGACGACTGGGACTTGGAGATTGTTGTAGAGAATCTGCCTGGATCTTAGCAGCACGTCTGAGAGTCGTATCGTTCAGGTCTTACAGACCAGCAGAGAAACATGGGCTAGCTAACAGTGTGGTGGACTAACATCCTATCATCACTTTAAGAGATGTTATTATTTATTTTTTAAAATATACTTGTATTAATTTCAGAGAGAGGTAGAAACATCATTGATGAGAGAGAATCCCCCCACTAGGGATCGAGCCTGCAACCCTTCAGTCCACAGGCTAATTGCTCTATCCACTGAGGCAAACCAGCTGTGGCACCTTAAGAGACTTTAATTTATATAACAAGGAACGTATTTTCATATAACGTGATCCCTTAAGTCAAGCTGACTACATCAGGTGTTCAACCAAAAGAATGGTCTGTTCTAACGCTCTGTGATAAATGTTATGGGAAATAAGGAAGTAGGAAAATCCGTACCCGATTTTCACTTTCCTGACTCTGGGACCTATAGTCAAGTTGACTTAGAGCAGTTGAACAACTAAATACAATTGATTGCCTGGAATGAATGTCTAGAAGTTATATTGGATAAGGACAAAAAAAAAGTCATAAGTCCTGCTTGTCACATGTGTAATGAAAGCTGGGACATCCAGCTACACATTGCTTGAAAAGGAGGGCTCTAAAAAGAAAACAGATAGCAAAGATGGCCAAAAGGAACATGAGAACATGCCACTATAGTCAGAGTTCAGTGCCTGGGTTAAAAATTAAAAAAAATCAACAGTTCAAGGGCACAATGGAAGAGTTAACATGACTGCAGCTTATATATACAGAACTCAGTTTTTAGTTGATTGTTGACACAAATCAACAAGGTGAGGGGAAAGCATCCAGAACAAAGGTAGACAGTGGGAGACCATGCCCAGTCGTTTGTGTTCAGGATCCGGTGTCTCCAGGACTGGGCAAGGATGCTGAGGGGTTGCAGACTCCTGCTATAGGAGGAACAGCTCAGAACCCACGCTGTTCTTTTTAGCCGAGAAAAGACTTTTATAACGCACAATAGATATCTCGAAATACTCAAAGGGGTGTCACACAGAGGAGGAGTTAAACTTGTTCAGAGTTGTTCCAGTGCTAAATAAGAACCAATGTCTAGGAGAAGCTAGCGGGAGGTGGATTCAGCCCAGAATAAGATGGCTTTAATGATGAGAGCTGTCCAAATATGGAACAGACTGCTTTTTGCAATCTCCATCGCTTTACAGGAGGGCTTTAAAGGGTTGGGAAGTTGGCTCTGGTCTCTTTCGCAAAGTCACTCTTCATAGTAGGCCTTTTCTGTGTGTGTGTGTGTGTGTGTGTGTGTGTGTGTGTTTTCTGTGTGCCTAGCTTTTCAACTAGCCTGCTTCTTGCCAACTAATGTCCTCCTTTACCAACTCCTTTGAGGTTCTTGGATCAAGTCATGCATCTTTCTGATTCAGTTTCTTTTTCCTCTCCCTGTCCTCAATTAATAGAATGTAATTGCAGCCTTGGATGGTTTGGCCCAGTGGATAGAGCATCAGCCTGCGGACTGAAGGGTCTCAGGTTCGATTCTGCCCAAGAGCACATGCCTGGGTTGTGGGCTCCATCCCCAGTGGGGGGGCGTGCAGAAGGTAGCTGATCAGTGATTCTCTCTCATCATTGATGTTTCTCTATATTCCTCTCTCTTCCTCTCTAACATCAATAAAAAATATAAATTTTTAAAAAAGAATGTAGTTGCAATCCTTGATAAAAATGGAGTATTTCTAAAAACCCATTCTTACTTTGGTTAACCTTGTTAATAAACATGTCATTCATAAAATAAATTGAGCATCTATTTCTATGTAAGTAACTAGATCTTTCTGCTTTTCAGAGGCTGGGTTTATGCTCAATTTTGGCATAACTTATGAAGATTAATCAGATTTTGAACAAAGACAGATCTAGAGAGCATATATAGGTTTCTCAGAAGAAAGTAATGTGTATGTTCACATTGGTAACTGTTAGCACATCATCACCCTCCTAGACTATTCTTTGCAATATCTATTTATTGGAGGTTGGAATACTCCCTTAAACTGAAAAATGGGATTTTAGCCTGAGGTTGCCCCTTTCTATATCACATACCAATTATATCAATAAGTGATCAGCATATACCAGGGATTGTACTGCGTCCTGAGGTTGGACAAGATGGACAAGCCCCTGTTCTCACAAAACTTATATCCTTGTAGGGGGAGGCAGGCTGATAAACAAAAATATATAAAAGGGGAAGAAAATAAAACAATAATGTGATAACAATGGACCAGGGAGGGTAGCCACTTTCATCAGCCAAGACACCGCTGAGGTGGCATGCAAGCTGAGATCTAAATGAAATGGGACCAGGCACTTGAAGATATGGGGAAGAGCATTCTGTACAAAAGCGAGGTCGGAAACCCTTGAAGCTCATATACCAAAGATGCTTAGCCAAAGGCCCAATTTCCAGGCTGAGAAAGGTTTACCACCTTCCTACCTGCAGTTCTTCCATTGGTGCTGAAATGGATGAGAAGAGGCAGGAGAACTGGTAAGAAAAGGTGTAGGTAGACCTGATCTTGAAGGGAAAAGATCCAACCCTCCATTACCACACCCCCACCATGCAGTCACTGGCCCTCCAGGAGGGAGACTACAATCCTGTGACCTAACCAGTTTCCACCTCGCTTCTCTTGTGCATTGCCCTACGCTAGACTTCTGTTTGTTTCATGTAGGGTTCTGTTGGTCCTTGTCCAAGTATCAATCAAAACTGCATGCCAGCCTCCTCCACTCCTTGGAAATAATTAAATGACGTGCCTGATTTTTTCAGCTGGGTAATGCACTGTGATTTGCATCTGTTGAAGGCATTTATCTTAAGCCCTGGACCGAGTCATCTGAGGGTTTGTTTTTTTTTTTTGCTCCTGTGGATAAAACTCTGCCAGACACAAAAGTGGACTAAACGCCCCATTCTGCGACACACTCCCTTAAGAAAGCTGTTCTTTGTGATGCCAACAAGTTCATCCTTTGTTGATGAATTCAACTGCCACGGTCCCTAACTTCTTTAGGTCCCTAAAGGTAGTCTAACTTCTTTATGTTGCAAAAGTCCCTTTATCTTGCTGTTACCAAGGTTTTGTAGAGATTTCAGGTGCTTAAGAATAGACTTTGAAGTAAAGTTCCCCTTTCGCCTATTGGAGAAAGTGGGAGTCTAGAACACTGCCTGTTTTAAACGCCCAAGTGAAGCAAGCACCTATAGTACAAATCTCGCTGTTATTTAACAGCTAACAGTAGCATAACGTGTGTCTTCTATGCAGGCGTGCATCAAAGGCCATGTCGGCTATTAAAAAATAAAATAAAACCTCCACCCGCCCCCGTCCCCGCCCCCGTGCGATTCCCTCAATCAGGGCACAGAGCCCACTGGGGAAGGGCTCTTTGCGAGCGGTGGAGCCCTCGGCTGGGGACCTTGGGTGCGGTGTTCCCGAGGTGACATGAGAGATCTGGGCCGCGAGGGAAGTGCACTGCGGCATTCCTCCCCTCGGCTCCGGAGGCAGGGCTCCGAGGGAGACATCAGGGCGCATGGTGCAGCCCTGGAGGTGAAGGGCGAGGGGACGAGCCAAGGACACCATCCCGAGCGCGCTTCGGGCGCGGACCGAGTTCCCGGGTTTCCCGGCCACCACCCGGCACGAGGCCGACCCCGAAGGGCGAGCAGCTCCCTCGGGGAGGCGAGTGTAGGGAGCCCACTCTGAGCTCCCCATCGTCCTGGGTTCTAGCACTTTGGGTGGATGGAGATGGAGCGGCAGCCTGAGGAGACCGGAGCCCGCCCGCGGGCCAAGGTGCGGGCGCGGCGCGCGGCGGCCTGGATCCGGGTTCCTGGGGGCGGGGCGCGGAGGGGGCGGGGCTTGCGTGGCGGCGTGGGCGCGAGTCGCGCTGGAGGGAGGGAGCCGGGGAGAGGGGCGGGGCTGCGCCGCGCCGCCCGCGCCGCGCTGGGCCCTCTCAGCCAATGAGCGGCGTCCACATGCCGCGGCGGCAGCGAGAGGGGAGGCAGCAGCGGATAAATGCTATTAGAGCAGCCGCCGCGGAGCCGTCCCCGACGCCACCTCCTTCGCCGCCGCCGCTTCCTCTGCCGCTGTCGGGGGTGCGGAGCTGAGGACACAGGGCGAGCGCGCTGCGCACCACCGCGTCGGCTCGCCGCCCTCGGTCCGTGCCGCGCTCAGGGGTCGGCCAGGCACCCCCTCCTCCGGTCCGGGCGGGGCCTCGAGTCACATCAGGAGAGCCGGGAGGGGGCTCGGGGGCCGCGGCCTGCGCTCCGGGCGGGCGGTTGAGGGCGAGGGAGGCCCTCTCTTCTGAGGAGGAGAGGGAGGGCCGCCAGGCCCCCGCCGCCCAGCCGAGCCCGCCGCGGGCGCCGCCGGCAGGCCGGGCAGCCGAAGGGGCGGGCGCCCGCGGGAGGGGTGCGGGGTGATTCAGCGCCCCGCGAGGCGGAAGCGGCCGGAGGAAGAGGAGGAGGACAGGCGGCGGAGGGAGAGACGCCAGTCCGCGCCTGGGCGCCCGGGGTGGCACGAGGCCGCGGTCCGAGTGCGAGGCGGAGGCGAGGAGGCCGCGGGGACAGGAGGAGGCCAGGCCGGCCGGGCCCCCCGCAACCATGGAGAACGCGCACACAAAGACGGTGGAGGAGGTGCTGGCTCACTTCGGGGTCAACGAGAGCACGGGGCTGAGCCTGGAGCAGGTCAAGAAGCTCAAGGAGAGATGGGGCTCCAACGGTAAGGTGGCCGGGGCTGCTGCACGGGCCCCGCGCGGCCGGGCGCGGGCCCGAGCGCCAGGGAAAATGGCTGACGGGGCCCCACCTCGTGGGTCTCGGCTCCGCGCCCGCCGAGGGTGCAGACGGCGGCGGCGGCGGCGGCGGCGGCTCGGGCCCGCGCCCGGCACGAGGGGGAGAAGGGCTGCAGGTGGGGGCGCGGGGGTCGAACCTGCGTCTCCTTCGACCTCCCGGCGGCTCGAGCCCTTGACCTTCCCGCACGCAGCGGCCGGCCCAGCGCAGGGAAGGACGAGTCAGTCCCCCGCAGCTTGGCTGAGCCCTGCGAGACGTGTTCTCGCTGCCAGCCGGCTGGTGAGGCGTCGTCTCTAGTTGAGAATGCCCCTGACCGATCTGGTACTACTACCCAGAGCTCCACATCTGGCAGGAGTGATGACATAGCCGACATGACTCCTTGTTTCAGGAGTCCTTGTTGAGGTTGGAGATGAGATTTTACTTAGCAAGTATTGCATGTTTTACTATGGTTTCCATGGTAAAATGGTTGAGTGGACCTATATCGAGGTACATCTTTCAAAAAGTGGTCGTTTTTGAGCAATTTTTCTTTTAAAAAGACAAGTCTAACATGTTTTTGCTGTTTTCCTCCCCTCCTCTGGAATCGTTGCCTGGCGAATGTCTACATTTCTACAGAGTTACCGGCTGAAGAAGGTAAAGTAACCTTAACATGTTCTTCCCCCCCAACCCCCCCTCCTTTGTGTGCTGATGTTGAGATGACATTTACAACCAATGTGGTGTTTGTTTCTAACAGGAAAAACCCTGCTGGAACTTGTGATCGAGCAGTTTGAAGACTTACTAGTTAGAATTTTATTGCTGGCAGCATGTATATCTTTTGTAAGTATAAAGCAATTTGTTTTTTCTCCAAAATGTTGAGAATATTCCCTAAATGAAGAAAAAAAACGGGAAATAAATGATGTCTGTTGGGTGAGAACATTATATTATTTGGAGGTTTAAGCAGTATCTTCATTAATTGTTTTTAATCCTTGGTATTTTAAAATTACAAGCAAAGCAATCCGAAGCCTTTTGTAAACAGAAAATAGATGCCTAACATTTACAGTGCAGTTAGAAATTATCCTCGAATGTGGCATTCTTGTGACTTATCAGCTTTTAATATCAAAAAGTTCTTTATGGGAAGGCCTTTTGTGATTGGGGCTCTTCCATTGTGTAAGGTCGTCCTGAGATGATGTTGGGCTCTTTATAGTCTGTAAATAGAACTTACAAAAGGAATATACCAGTTGCTCTCCCGTCCTGGTAATGGCAAGGTGACAGTTGTTACTGACAGTGACAAGAATGATGACGGCAGTGATGGCACCACTGTTGACCAAATTTGGTCACTGACCTTTAGGGTGGCATATTTATCTAAATTGGACCCTTGTCTTGAGTGGCTCCTGGGTTAAGAGAACAGTGTTCAGTACAGTTGGATCTCGATTTTAAAAGGAAAAAAAAAAGAACCAGAGTGTTTTTTCTTGTTCTGCATGTGCTTGAGTCCTGTATGGTTGCTAAGAAACTGGTGAAATGCAAAGGACTACAGCAGAAGAAAATGATGGGGGTCGGTGAGGATATTTCTAGTTTATTCACATTTTTTTCTGTTCAGTATTAATTTTTTATTGAACAGTGGATTTCTTGATAGTTTTCCTAAAAATGGTCATGAATAGGACACAGATGTTCCTAATCCTAACAGCATGAGATGCTTTTTGTCCTTAGCTTATTTTGTTCTTACGAAAGCTATGATGGGAAGTGAAATTCACCCAATCTTTGAAAAATTGACACAGCTTCAGGATTTCATTTTTGTATGTTTGTATGTATGCCAGCCCCAGAGATCTACCTTAGTCTTTATGACAACCATACCATAGCGGGCTATTTTAGAAACTGAAGAAAATAGTGGGCATTAATTTAGATGAAGGGGGAGAATTGGAAAGAGATAAACTTTTAAAATATATTTTTATTGATTTCAGAGAGGAGAAACAAAAAGATCAGTGAGAGAGAATCATTGATTGGCTGCCTTCTGCATGTCCCCCACTGGGGATCAAGCTCACATCTATGACCTGGTTCATAGGTCCACGTTCAACCACTGAGCCATGCTGGCTGGCTGATTTTTATTTTATTTATTTATTTATTTTGAGTAATTCTGTGCACAAATTCTGCCATTGAGACTTTAATAATAATATACCATGCCACGTTAACCAAGTGATGTGTAACCATTAATCAGACCTCTTCTCAGAGATTTTCACTAAATGAAATGAAGAGGGATATATCAAACCATTTAACATCCTGAGTTAATAATCTAGACCTATTACATGCCCATTCTTCATTTAACCCCTGAAACCCTCCTCCAAATGGCTGCTGCTTTAACCAGCGAAGATAAAAGAATAGATTTGTTTAACTAGTTTTAATATATTGTCATGAGGCAAAAAAATTATATGTTTGGGCCAGTATAATATTTATATTTAAGTTGGCTGGCTACATAATTCTGAGATAGTCTCAGCTTTGTTAGTTAAAATACTAGGGTTTAGTAAGGCCATTAGGGACCTCTTAGAAGTTAACTGGTGCATACAAGCCAGAGATAAAATAAATTTCTGTTGAGTTATTCTGTGTATATAACTTAAAGCAGTTATAACATCAATGGTATTATTTCCAGTAAGCAAGCTATTGACTATTTGGGTTGTATAGGCTCTCTTGATTGGCCAATTTGAGTGACTATTAACATTTTTTAATTAATATGTGTGATGTTTGTTTTGAAGTAGGTAGTTTATAGTTTCTAGGCATTTTCAAATGGGTTATTAAGTAAATGCTTTAACTTTGTTGTAATGTAGGATATTGGTTTTTTTTGTAGCATGTAGAGTTGTGTTTTGAAATTGAGATTTGAGTTACTTTTGGGTAATTACTTGGAGTTACTGCTCAGGAAATGGACTATGTTACATTTTTGTTGTATGGGTTGCTACACAGAAAAGTACTGTGTTTAGAAGGACTGTTACTTGCTTTGATTAAGAAATTGCAGATAGAAAACCTGTTTGTTGATTTTCTTCAGGTGCAGTTGGCACTACTGCTACATCGAACTTGACCTTTTCATTTCACATTTATCACTCAAAAGAGCTTTGTGGTTGTCAGTTTATTTCTACTTAATGGAAAAAACTGGAAGGATATTTGTGTTCTTTTGGAGAAATGAATAGGTAGCTATATATGATAATCAGGTTCCACTCAAGTTAAAAAGAAATATTAGACTTTAGTGATTTATTTCAAATATCAAACTAGGTAGTAAACTGTTAACCATAGTTAATATTTTGCTGTAGCAGAAAGTAGGAAACTATTAATGTTTTACACTTGTAACCTGAAGAGATAGTTTAATTAGCTTCTAATTCATCAAAGTAGTTTATTTTAAAGGTCACTTAGAGTGGAAGAAGTGAGTGATATATCCTCCATTGCATATGAAATAACATCAGAAATTCTATAATTAAAAATAATTATTATTTTTTTAATTGGAGAGAAAGGAACATTGATTTGCTATTTCACTGATTTATATATTCATGAATCTATTGGATGGTGATAGTGCTGTGAAGAAAAATTAAGTGGTGGGGGCAGAAGAAGGAAATATGCAGAGGGGTGTATAATTTTCAAGTATGGTGGTCACGTGAGGCCTCTAAGAAGGTGATGTTTGAGAAATACCTGAAGGAGGTGATCGTGAGGGCCATATATTTCCCATCTGTCTGAATCATAAAGTCCCCCATAGCAACACAATTTGCATAAGTGGTACTACCTTCCACCTCCATTTTCCCACCTCAGCTGATTAGATCAACCCTAAAATGCTAGTAGAACTTTCTTAGGCCAAGGCATTTCTCAACTTTTCACTTATATTTCAATAATTGTCTTTTCACCCTACTGGACCCTTTAAATGGATTCTTTTTTTCTTTTTTCAGGGATAGGTAGAAACATCAATGATGAGAATCATTGACTGGCTATCTCCTGCACACCCCACATTGGGGATCTAGCCTGCAACCTGGGCATGTCCCCTGACTGGGAATTGAACTGTAACCTCCTGGTTCATAGGTTGGCACTCAAACACTGTGCCATGCCAGCTGGGCTAAAGGGATTCTTAATTCCCTTTAGAGCCTAGATTATTGCATTTGCTATAACTAATATGTATTTGGATGAGTTAGTGTTGGTAGCATTTTCAAAATATGTGAGATCCTTATACTTTGGTTTTCTCCGAACTATATTTAAGAAGTGTTTGAGCCAAAACCCGTTTGGCTCAGTGGTAGAGCGTTGGTCTGTGGACTGAAAGGTCCCAGGTTCTATTCCGATCAAGGCATGTACCTTGGTTGCAGGCACATCCCCGGTGGGGGGTGTGCAGAGGCAGCTGGTCGATGTTTCTCATCGATGTTTCTAGTTCTCTATCCCTCTCCTTTTCTCTCTGTAAAAAATCAATAAAATATATATTATTTAAAAAAAAGAAGAAGAAGAAGTGTTTGAGCGTGGCCGGCATGGCTCTGTGGTTGAGCATTGGCCTGTGAATCCGGAGATCACAGTTTAATTCCCAGTTAGGGCACATGCCTGGGTTGCGGGCTCAATACCCAATGTGAGGCGTTGTTTTCTTTTAATTTCTTATTTTTAAAAAGGTAAAATGAGCAATTTACTGACTGGTTTAACTAATATATTTAAAACCTTTCAAATATGGTTTGAAAGGTGAATATGTGTGATTTTATGCTGTTTTGAAGATTATAATCTCAAATCTGAAAACATTGAGTGTTTTTGCAAGGTTTGTCGGCATTGAAAGAGAATGTAATCTATACCTTTTTAAAAAAATCTTAAAGTTGATTTTTACTAAACATAGGACTTTTTGTAATTTAGGTAGATTTGGTAACTATTCACACAGCATATGTGTTCTGAAATACATGAAAGGGATTTTTCTTAGGAATTAAAAAAATCTTTAGCTTTTAAATCTTCAAGAAGATTTGAACAGTGTTGTGTGTGTTTTTTTATTGATTTCAGAGAGAAAGGGAGAAACATCAGTGCTAAGAATCATTTGGCTCTCTAGAGGTTATTGTGTTATACAAACATCAGTCTTATAGAAAGCAATTAGAAGATACCATCTTACTCAATTTAAGCAGTTTACATTGTAGCTGAATGTTCATTAGCAAGTGGTTACTTTGAATAGGATTAGCAAGTTTGAAATTGAACTTGCTGGATAATATAAGCCCCAGAAGACGTGTAATGTTTCTGTATTTAAACAGTGCAAAGCAAAGGGAACAAGAAACTCTTTATGCCTAAAATTATACTGCAATAGCCTTTTCTTCCACTTTTCTTTGATGCTGTTGAAGTTGGTTATCTTTTTGCTCTTAATGTTTAAGTTCATACACTGCCACTTAAGACTCTTAGTAGTATACTTTAGAGATTGTATGAAGTTTTGTTTCATCCATTTGTGCATCTATTTAATAAGTACAGTGAGCATCAACTGTATATGAGATATTTTAGGCCCCTGGGGATACAACAGGGAACAAAAGGCAATACAAACAGATAATTTTTTTATGTTTAACATATTCTCTCTCTCTTAAATATATATTTTTTATTGATTTCAGAGAGAAAGAGAGAAGTGAGAGATAGAAATATCAATATTGAGAGATAATCATTCATCTGCCTCTTGAACGCCTTCTTCTGGGGTTCAAGCCCGCAACCCTGGCATATGCCCTTGACCAGAATCGAACCCAGGACCCTTCAGTCCACAAGCCGACTCTCTTTCCACTGAGCCAAGCTAGATAGGGCTCTTCTTAAAAAATTTATTGATTTCAGAGAGGAAGGGAGAAGGAGAGAGAGAAATAAACAATTCAGTGAGAGAGAGCATTGATCGGCTCTCTCCTGCACGCCCCCTACTGAGGATTGAGCCTGCAACTCAAGCATGTGCCCTGAACTGGGAGTAGAACTGTGACCTCCTGGTTCTTAGGTCAAGACTTACCCACTGAGCCACATCAACCAGGCCAATCTATTCTCAATAATTTCCCTAAGCATTTTCCCCTCCCTCCTTATAAATATATTTTTATAACTTCTGGAAAAATCATAATGAACTGGTTGTACTATTATACTAATGAGGCATCTTGCATTTCAATACTGTGTCACTCATCCAATTTCTCCTTTTCTCTACCTTCCTCATATTATGGAGTCTTATTTGTCAGGATCACTTACACAAGAGAGGTTTTCTTTTCAATAGAACAAAACCATGAAGAATTGCACAATGTGATTTGGACATGATAGACTGTATTGATTCTTACAAGTTAATGAAATACAGTTCAGTCTGAACTTGTTTGGCTCAGTGGATAGAGCATCAGCCTGCAGACTGAAGGGTCCCAGGTTCGATTCTGGTCAAGGGCATGTACCTTGGTTGCATGTACATCCCCAGTAGGGTGTGTGCAAGTGGCAGCTAATTGATGTTTCTCTCTCATCAATGTTTCTAACTCTCCTCTCCCCTCCTCTCTGTAAAAAAATCAATACAATATATATTAAAAAAAAGAAAAAAAGAAATACAGTTCATTTTCATTTTGGACTGTGGCATTTAATTTTTTGGGTTATTTGTGGTTTTAAAATAGGCATTTTCAAAGTACTCGGAGGCATTTTCAAAGTACTCGGGCAATTGTTGTTTATCCATTTTTAACATCAGCACCATCCTTCTACCCTACGATTTATTTGCCCGCTAGTTTCTTATCAAGCAGTAATTAGTATATCTGCAGAACTTTTAAATAACTGTAAATGCCTGTGTTTCTTACACATAAACATTTAAAGTGATATGGTGGAAGGAAAGACAACTTCACTGTTCAGGTTAGGATCATTATATTATTGATGAATACCACTTGTGCAGAGAAACTATACATTTCTTAAAAAGTGGAGGTTTGCTCTGATCTGTCACTGCTCGCCTTATTCTATTCCTTTCTCCAGCTGTTATGGGATATTGCTCTAAGTTTGTTCCTCTGGGCCTAGCTGCCAAGAGGGAAATTCATATCTGCTTTAACAAGGTGTGAAGCTTATCTTACACTTGCTAATGCTTCGCTGACCTTTTGGAAAGGTCCTAGCTACTCTTCAAGTTAAACAGTTTTTCTCCCCCAAGAGCTAATTAAGTTTCTTATTTCTCATATACTGTCCTTGGCAAATGTTTGGAAGGCTAGTATTAAAGCAGCTGTGATCTTGCATCTATCAAAATTTACGACTTCCTAGAGAAGATTTCACTTTGGCATTAGGCCTGGCTTTAACACCAGGAATGTCCTGTTGAAAGCTTACAGCAACATTTATAATTATTCTGGTTTTCTTCCTGCCCTGCTTCACTAGCTGTCAGTTGTGATTGAAATCTACCTGGTCCTGGTGTCTACTGCTTTTTTTTCTGCCCAAATTGGTATTTCTTGTTAATTTGTCATTACCCTTTTTTACTTGGCAAAATTCATGTTGGCTCTTGCCTTAGTCATCTTTCTGATTGTTAGCTATTTGTATAAAACCTTACTTCATAGTATTCCACTAAGTACGTAGTCCAATGGTTTTATTATTACCCTAAATGATATCTGACAATATTACAAGTATCAAAAATTGTGCTTTTATTATTTACTAGTCTTTTAAAGATTTTGTGAAATATGGGAACATTTTAAGCAGTTTTTAAAAACATAGATAAACCTTAACTAACGGATTGGATCATTAGATATGTTTAACATTTTTCCTGGATTGGCAATTTTTCACAGAAATATCTTGTTAAATTTTTAATATTTTTATTTTTAAAAATATATTTTTATTGGTTTCAGAGAGGGAGAGGGAGAAAGAGATAAAAATATCAATGATGAGAAAGAATCACTGATCAGCTGCCTCCTGCATGCTCCCTACTAGGGATGAGCCCACATATGCCCTGACTGGGACCACCTGGTTCATAGGTCGATGAGCAACACTGAGCCATACCAACTGGCCAAAAATTTTAATAATATTCATTGTGGTGGATTCTCTCTTAATCACCTTGTGTTGCTCAACTGTGAAGTATACCATAGCTCTCTTGTAGCTTTTAGACCTTAATAAAGTTACGGTCATGTTAGCAAGGAATTAATTCTAATTTTTCTTGGAGCAGTGTTCTGTGTCCAATTGTAATATTTTTAGACTTGCGTCATTCTTGAAATGCTATCCTGCTTACCAGATATCATATGAAGGATAACCTTGAAAATATATTCTTGACTAGAGGCCTGGTGCACGAAATTCGTGCACAGGAGGGGAGGGTGTCCCTCAGCCCAACCTGCACCTTCTCCAATATGGGACTGCTGGCTCCCAACCACTCTCCTGCTTGATTGCCCCTAACCACTTCTACCTGCCAGCCTGATCACACCTAACCACTCCCTGCCAGCCGGATTGCCCCCAACTGCCCTCCCCTGCAGGCCTGGTCCCCTCTCCCCCCAACTGCCCTCCTCTGCAGGTCCAGTTCCTCTCAACTGTCTTCCCCTGCAGGCTTGGTTGCCCCTAACTGCAATCCCCTGCAGGCCTGATCGCCCCCTACTGCCCTCCCCTGCTGGCCATCTTGTGGCAGCCATCTTGTGTCCACATGGGGGTGGCTATCTTTGATCACAGGGGGGCAGCCATCTTGTGAGTTGGAGTGATGGTCAATTTGCATATCGCTTTTATTAGATAGGATTATGGGGCAGCCTTACAATAATTCTGTGACAACCTTCAGTAATACCAATGGGGGGGGGGGGGAATTTGAGTCAGTGATCAAGTTATTTTTATTATGAATTTATGCCAAGGGTATTGTTTGGCACTAGTGGCCTGGTGCATGGATTTGTGCACATTGAAAGGAAATTAATTAGAAGAAAGATTTGTGCATTAATTACATTACTGTAAAAAATTACATGTCAAACTAGTATATATAATATAGTATAAAATTAAAATACAAAATATTTTAATATTGCTATTTGCCCTTTTTTAATAATAGACATGTGCAGTCAACGTTTATTTAAATTGCCAGTGCATGTCATATGTACTAGTCGGACAGATGGTCAGACGGTCACTTAGCCTTTTATGTATATATAGATGAATATTACCCAAATTAACAAAGTTGTTATTTGCCTTTAACCAAATTAAGAGTGTAAGTTTTTCTTCTGAATATCCTATATAATAAAAGTGTAGTATGCAATTTGTCCCCTCGACTGGTAGTTCATCCGAGAGTTCAATCAGGGTCGAGGCTGGCCTGGGGAAGGGAGAGAGGCCTTGGCCAGCAGCCAATAGCCACTAGGGACTCTACCAGTGCACTGGGCCTCTAGTCTATATAATCTAGATAGTAAAAGCCTAAGCGACCATTACAGCGGAAAGACCAGAATGCCCAGTCACTATGATGCGCACTGACCACCAGAGGGCAGATGCTCAATGCAGGAGCTGCCCTCTGGTGGTCAGTGCGCTCCCACAGGGGGAGCACTGCCCAGCCAGAGCCGGCCTCACGGCTGGTGAGCGCAGTGACCTCTCCCACCTCCGCAGCAGCACTGAGGAGCAGTAAGCAGGCAGGCGGTAAGGAGTGAGGGGTCCCGGACTGCAAGAGGGTGCAGACCAGGCTGAGGAGATTCTCAGTTTACAAATTTCATGCACCAGGCCTCTAGTATACATATAAAATAAATGGGTTTTTATTTGGATTTTTAAACAAATATTACGTGAAAAAAATAAATTAGCTCTTAATGTTAAGAAGTATGCTTTCGATTCTCAAGAATTATTTCGAACAATACATAAGCTGTCTTTTATGTTATCATATTTCACCACTATTGGTTTCTAGGGATGAAAAGAGATTTTGTGTGTTTTGTTTTTTTAAAATATATTTTTATTGATTTTTTTTTACAGAGAGGAAGGGAGAGAGATAGAGAGCTAGAAACATTGATGAGAGAGAAACATTGACCAGCTGCCTCTTGCACACCCCCTACTGGGGATGTGTCCGCAACCAATGTACATGCCCTTGACCAGAATCGAACCCGGGACCTTTCAGTCCGCAGACCGACGCTCTACCATTGAGCCAACCTGGTTTCGGCAGATTTTGTGTGTTATAATTCCTTTAGTGCCAGCCACTTTTCTTATAAAGTGGCACTAAGCCTAAAAACACATTACAATTCTAACACATCACATGTGATTTCTCTTTCAGGTTTTGGCTTGGTTTGAAGAAGGTGAAGAAACAATTACAGCCTTTGTAGAACCCTTTGTAATTTTACTTATATTAGTAGCCAATGCCATTGTGGGTGTCTGGCAGGTAAGCACAAAATTCTACACTACTAAGTTTTAGAAATTTCTGTGACTTAAATTCTATTAATCTTTCTGTTATCCGTTTTTTCCTGATGTGTTGACTAAAAATACTCTGCAATGTCTACATGTGTTTTTGTTTGTTCATTGGTTTATTTAATGGCAAAATTTTAGATCTCTCACAAATATATACTTAGCTCATGCTTATATGAATTGTTCATCCTTCATGATAGCATGGAGTTACTCACAATGGATGAGAGAAGCTATTTACAGAGAGGAAGGGAGAGGGATAGAGAGAAACATCGATCTGTGAGAAACATTGGTCTGTTGCTTCTTGCACACCCCCTTCTGGAGATGTGCCCACAACCAAGGTACATGCCCTTGGCTGGAATTGAACCTGGACCCTTCAGTCAACAATCCGACACTCGATCCACTGAGCTAGCCTGGCTAGGGCAAAATTGTTTAAATCTTACATTGTTTTTCTTGCAGAGCATAATCCTGGCTGTTTTCAGCCTGTCACCTGAGCCCTTCTTATTCACAGAATGGAAGTTAATTTTATTTCAGAAACAAATGGATTTTTTCCCCCACCCTCCCTACTCACAAAATTGTTCTTCTGCTCATATATAGTTTGAGGACTTCAACTTTTCTAGAACTGTTGATTTAAGTATTGCTCTTTTATGTTTTTGATGAATGTAGTCATCCCTTTGAAGACTAAATAAAACAGTGCATCTGTTATTAAAGTGTCAACTTCTGCCCTAGCTGGTTTAGCTCAGTGGATAGAACATAGGCTCACAGACTGAAGGGCCTCAGGTTCGATTCTGGCCAAAGGCATGTATCTCGATTGCAGGCTGGATCCCCAGCCCTGGTCATTTGTCAGAGGCAACCAAATTGATGTGTCTCTCCCATTGATGTTTCAGTCTGTTTCTTTCTCTCCCTTCCATTCTCTCTAAAAATCACAGCAACAAAAAAAGGGTAAACTTTTGTTTGTGTTAATAAACACAATGATCTTTATGTGTCGGGCTCATATAGAAAGATGGCCTACTTAGAAAATTTTAATTGAACTATATTCCTTACTTTGATCCCCCAAAACATTTTTTATGTTTAAGCACAAATGATCCTCTTGTGAATAATTTAGGCAAAAGAAACAATACACAGCATTAGATTGTCTTTCTCAAACTAGTAGTATGTATTTTTTAATTAATTTATTCCAGTTATATGGTAGATACTTTATGTACATTCCCATTTCATCCTTACAGTGAACTTGTAAGGTAGATGATACTCCCATTTGACAAATGTATCATTGAAGCTCATAGTGATTAAGTGACTTATTAAAGGCCATATAGGTAGTACATAAAGTATCTGAAATTTGAATCTGGACCCATGCTAATACGAACTCCAAAGTAAAATTTTACAGCGGTTTAAAAAATAACATTCTTATATCTTAATCCCATTTGCATATTATGTAGAATAATATAGGCAATACTTGAGGGCTCTTACCTTCTGGAAGTAAGGAAAGTTATAATTACAGATAAAATCCTATATAATAAAGGTAACATGCAAATTTACCATCACACCCTCACACAAGATGGCCATCCCCATGTGGTCGCAAGATGGTGGCTACAAGATGTTATGGTACAGGTGTGTGTGGCTGGATGTGAGGTCTGTGTCTCAGCTATGCTCAGGGACAGCAGAATCATTTTCTACGTTATGATTTTACTTCCTTTACCTGTAGGGGCTTATTTTTTCATCTTTTTAAAAAATATATTTTTATTGATTTCAGAGAGGAAAGGACAGGGAGTGAGAGATAAAACATCATTGATGAGAAAATCATTGATCGGCTACCTCTTGCCTGCCCCACTCAGGGATTTGAGCCCCAAATCCCACTGATGGGGAATCAAACTGACTTCCTGGTTCATAGGGTGACCCTCATCGCTGAGCCATGCCCATCTTTAATACAAGCCATAAGGGCCTAGCATTTGTCACCTTAAATGTGAATTGTTTACTACAACTGTCATTAATGTACTTCTCTCGTGTGTTTTAAGTTTAGAACTCTACAAAATTTGATTCTCTGCGCTAGAAATGCTTGCAGTGGTAGGCATGTGTTCACTACCTTCATCTTTTCTCTTTTACAGGAAAGAAATGCAGAGAATGCGATCGAAGCCCTTAAAGAATATGAGCCTGAGATGGGCAAAGTGTACAGACAGGACAGGAAGAGCGTGCAGCGGATCAAAGCCAAAGACATAGTTCCTGGGGATATTGTAGAGGTTGCTGGTGAGTTTGTTATTTTTGTTTATATTCTAGATTGTGTATCTGAATGCATTCTTTTTCTCAAGGCTCCTAGTTAAGTGTTTTAAAAATTATGATCATATTTATCGGTTTTAGCACCATCCAAACAAAAAGGTTTTCTATAAAATTTTGAAGGGTTTTTGCACTACCCTTCATGTTATTGATATTTTTGAACAAGGTGTTTGAATTATTTGTGTTTATTACTTTTGATACATTGTATCTCACTGGTGCTAGTGAGATAATTAACCTAATTTTGACTTGACAATTAGTGGTGCAGTTTGTTAGCATTCTAGTTTTGGCTACATAGTTTTTTGTTTCTTAGCATATATATTGTCATACCTGCAAGTTGATAGTTAAGGGTAATTTCATGACTCTAAAAGTTCTGATTAAAAATACTTTTCCATTTCACTGAGCCAGGGTTCATAGCTTGGGCTGTGAATCCACTACAAAGCCAGAGCTCTCCACAGATCTTAAAGGAGTCTGTTTCCTCATTGCTCTAGATCAGCAGTCGCCAACCTTTTGGACCTCATGAACCACCAGTGGTGTGCGGACCACCATTGGCGACTGCTGCTCCAAAATTTTCCTTAAATCCGAGATTGCCAACCTTTCAGACCAGTGGTCCATGGACACCACCAGCGGTCCACGGATGACCGGTTGGTGACTCCTACACCAGATCAGTGCCATGTTGTCAGACAACCCTATGCATAGTAGTTCTTAGCAGGAGGGCACATCAGAATCCTCTGAGGCACTCTTTAAAAATTTTTTTACCAGCTTCAACCCAAATTATTAACACCCGATCTACCATGGAATTATGATTAAGTATAGTTTGAAAAGTGGGCCTCAGATTTAGACCCAAAGCAACAGTTTTTGATAACTGAGTGGATATGGGGGTAGAATGTAAAATCAAAGATATTGGCCAAATTTCTAGTTTAGGTGACTGGAGGGTGATGCTGCTAGTAACTGAGGAAGGAAACACTGGAAGAAGATAGTCTTTTTAAAATAAATATGTTTTATGTGCAGTTGCAGATATCATTGCCTAAATACTTGTACAGGATTCTGTCTTAGTATGTTTTCTATTTCTCCAGCTTAATCTGGTAATACACTCTTCAGCCTTTCAAGTTAAGAATATTTAAGAATTTTTATGGCAGTTAGAGGATTTCAGTGTAGTGAGTCTGAAAACTTAGAGAAATTACTCCCAAAGCATCTATCTTTACTTTGCATCAGTAGATGGTGGTGGTAAAGAGCGTCAGGGGAAAGTGTAACCTTGATCCTCAAGCCATCTTCCCTTTTGAAGAAATAAGCAAGGCCAGCTTCTATTAAACAGTGATAATTGAAATATTTCTTTCCCATCTCAGTAAGTCATTCTAACCACCTAGCTAGCTGAGAGAAACTTAGGATTCATCTTGAGTCTTTTCTCTTATTCTGTCTCTAAGGCAAGTTGATTTTATCTCCAAAACACACCCCAATTTATTAACTTCTGTTTCCTCAGTCTCACACTGACACTGCCATTGTGTTCTAACTTGGCTCTGGCTTCCTTTGTTGTTTTTCAGTCAGTTCACACAGAAGCCAGAGTGGTTTTCTAAAGGTCATGTTATTTATTAACCTGCTAAATCTTCCAGTGGCTTCCTATTGCACCTCAAATACAAAATTCTTTTATCTAAAAGACCATGCATTGTGTAACTCCTGCTTGCTTCCATGGTTTCATCTTAATGCCACTCCTGTGTATTAACCACTATATAGGCTTCTTATTTGATTTTCAATACCACCAGACTTTTCTGGCCTTTTGGGAGAGGGCAGGCAAATTTTGTATAATGTATTAATGTGCCCAATATACAGATCTCATAGTGGTAAAGCTTGATGGTTATCCTGGTCTACCTGATTTTTGTTGTCCACTGTGAAATTCCATTCCCTATGCATAGTGTTCGTATCTGTGACCTAAGATATCCATCTAGGTATACCTTATTTTGTTTATACTGTGGTAAAATATACATAGTAAAAATTGTCATTTTAACCATCTTTAAGTATACCAGTTACATGGCATTAAATAAATCCACATTATTGTGCAGCCATCATCGTCATTCATCTCCAGAATTTTTCTCAACTTCCCAAACTGCAACTCTGTCCCCGTTAAACAGTAATTTCCCTTTACCAATTTCCTTCAGCTTCTGGCAACCATTCACTTTCTTTTTATATCCTCCCCCCCCTTTTTTTAAGGTATATTTTATTGATTTTTTTTCAGAGAGGAAGGGAGAAGGATAGAGAGCTAGAAACATCGATGAGAGAGAAACATCGACCAGCTGCCTCCTGCACACCCCCCACCAGGGATGTGCCTGCAACCAATGTACATGCTCTTGACTGGACTCAAACCTGGGACCTTTCAGTCCACTGAGCCAAACCGGTTTTGGCATCAATTTCTTTTTATATACATAAAACCAGGGAGCTTAATATTGAAAGATGAGTTTATATCTCTTATATGAAGTGAATATATTTACTACAAAGTACAAATTAGCAATTACAAAATAGTCACGATGTAAAGTATAGCATAAGGGTTACACAGTTGTTTTCAAGTACACAAGTCTTGTATTTCTTTTGTTACATTTTTTCCTAAGTATTTTGTTTTGTGTGTGTGTGAGTGTGTGTGTGTGTGTGTGTGTGTGTGTGTGTGTGTGTGTTTTGGGGGGAGGGCTTTTTGTAATTGGATTTGTTTTTTATTTTCATTTTCAAATTGTTCTTTGCTAGTATACAGAAGTACAATTATTTTTTTTAATATTAATCTTATACCTTGCAATCTTGCCTTGACTCTTAACTAATTTTAATAGCTTTTCAGGGATTCCTTAAGATTTTCTATATAGAAGTTCATGTCATGTGCAAACATTTTTTACAACTTTCCAATCAGGATGCCTTTTCTTTTTCTTGTCTAAGTACCCTCACTAAAATCTCCAGTAGAATCCTATATAACAAAAGCCTAATATGCTAAGCGTCTGACTGTTCGTTCGACCAGTTGCTATGATGTGCACTGGGGGGCAGACATCCGACCAGTAGGTTAACTTGCTGCTGGGGTCTGGCTAATTGGGACTGGGCGAGCGAGACAGGCCAGACAAGCTCTGGAGCCCTCCTGCAGTCTCTCCCTAGCTGGTCAACCCCTCACGATCCCTCCCCGGTCACTCCCAGGCTGATTGTTCCTGATCAGGACTGAGCGAGACAGCCCCCATCACCCGATCGGGACTGGGTGAGATGGTCCTGACACGCCCTGGAAGAATCCATGCTCCGGGCCTCTAATGTCGAATGAAAGTGGCAAGAGTGGACATCCTTGTCTTGTCCCTGATCGAAGGGGGAAGCATTCAGTCTTGTACCACGAAGTGTGATGTTGGCTGTGGGTTTCATTTATCATGTTGAAGAAACCTGGTCATAATTTTAATTTTTAGGTTGTCAGTGTACTCTTATTTGGCCTGCTTTGGTGATGTTTTGTAGTGACTGTATGTTTATATCCAAATTAGAAATGAGAGTTTTGCTGGATTAGTAGGCCTGGTGGATCATTGAATTGGGTAAGATTCCCAACCCTAAGGCACTTACAGTGAATTATATAGAATATTTTGGAAAAACATATTGTGAGGTGTTTATTTTAGAAGACTTTAAGACTACATGTTGGGGGTTTTTAACTTCCACTTTTCTTAGGATTAGTAATCTAACTGACAATTTGGCATTTAGCTCTATAATTCAGTTCTGTGAAACTATAGAAATGAACTTCAATTCTAAAATGTAGATCTAAATTGTTTCTTCTCAGTATTACTCTACATAGCCTGGATAAGTAGTAGCTTGAATTGTGCTTTTAGACATGGTAACTTTTATTTAAATTATGAAATTAAGTGTAGCTTGTTCTCTGTGATGGATTGAAACACTGGAGAATATTGTGAACTGTTTTGAAGATGAAAGCAAGTTTGGAGCTGCTATTTTAATACTTTCGGAAAGAGGTCTTTTTATGTTAATTTTTGGATGTAAGGATCATCTCCTAACTTTAGGTAATAAACTTCATTTTGCAAGCTTTAGGAAGACATGATAAAATGGTTCTGGGTTCTGCTGAACTTTCTGAAGGCTAGACTGGACGAAGTGGTGTTTTTAGGGGGAGATATAGGGAGTTAAGGAAATGAAATTTTAGATTGCTGTATCAGCTAATAACCTTTCTTAGAAGACATTGTGTAAGTGTGCATAGCAGATGCTTAGGTAAACCTTTGAAGTATCTAGAATGTAGGAGCCAAATAAAATTGACTTGGCAAATAAAAATATGGAGAAAGTCGCCGAAACCGGTTTGGCTCAATGGATAGAGTAGGGGTGTCGAACTCAATCAGAGAAGGGGCCAAAATCTAAAATCCAGCTTAAATCGCGGGCCGAATGGTTTACTGAACAGTCATAAACTGTCATTGTGATGGAAACGCAGCGGAGTGCAGTGATGACAGCGCGGTGCGGGCCACATTGCAAGGCCTGGCGGAACGGATTTGGCCCGCGGGCCTTGTGTTTGACACATGTGGGATAGAGCATCGGCTTGGGGACTGAAAGGTCCCGGGTTCGATTCCGGTCAAGGGCATGTTTGGTTGCAGGCATATCCCTAGTAGGGGGTGTGCAAGAGGCAGCTGATCAATGACTCTCTCTCATCGATGTTTCTAACTCTCTCTCTCTCTTCCTCTCTGTACAAAATCAATAAAATATATTTTTTTAAAAATATGGAGAAAGTTATCCATATTTTTGTCTTCTGAAGCCACAGTGATTTTGTGTTATCATAATGCCAGGGAAATGTTTGTATGGATGGAAACCATAGTAAAATCAGGTGTAATTTTTTTGAGAAACGAACATCAGTGTTTTTAAACTTTCTGTATTATCAGCTAATGTTATCAAAGTAAATCAAGTTTATGATATCATAAAGTGTTAAATTTAGAATTTTGGAGGTTTCAGTATATGCCCCAGCGGTAGGAGATTATTTATTGACTTCT